TTTTTTACTAAAGGATAATAGAAGTCCTGTACATGTAAACTTTCTTTTGGAAAAAAAAAGCAACCTAAAATGGAGACAACATATGTAGTTTGAATTTCTAAACAGTTCAGAGATCCTCCTCAGAAGAAATACAGTGTCTCAAGGGCAGTGTATATTTTGATTGCTTCATCTTCTGAAAGTTGCAGTTAAGCTAAGGTATATGATAAACTGAGAGAGAAAAGTTTAACGATGTACCCACAGAAGTCAATAAAAGTTTTCCTCTGCACAAGAAGCAGATCCAGTACATATACCATTCATGAATTGAACAAATGTATCCTAAAATCTCATGCTGGCTGCTTAGAAGATCAAGCACATAAAGGAATATAGTCACATAAGCTGTTTCTCTGTGTAAAAAGGCTGTGGGTTGCAGGATTAATTTTTTACAGTATATCTCTATAACCTGGATAACCAAGTAAGCCTTAACTTGTGGAATCTTAATAGCCATCTCATTGCTGAAGTCTAAAGGAAACCCAGAGGAAACTTAATAATATTAAAAGTTATTTTAAAGGGAGTTCACATTGGTTTGAAGGATATTTTGCTTCGCACACAATATCCACCATTGTAAATTCAGAGAACCTAAATTTAAATTCAGAAAAGCTTCACACACCTTTACAGTTCTCAATATATAAATCTAATAGTATACTCAAAATGTTCACCAGTAAAGCATTAATATTTTGCAGATAAAATTAAAATTCTGAAACTCACTGGAATGAAAAGTAAAGAAAAATAGTAAAATTATTCCCTCTAGAAATGAAGGGAAATGTGGAACTTTGTGGTGAGAAGCTAGTTTGTCCATGTTGTTATGAATAGAGAATAGCCTGTACAGTTTTTCATATCTGACTTGCAACTGAAGATTGGAACATATAGAAATTAATGTTACTGAATTATTTAATAGTAACTCAAACACATGAAAAGAAGAATTAAAGAAACACAAGACTAAAAAAGCATTTAAAATGAAATCAGAAGCTTCAACAAATATATTTTTCCATTGCAGTCAAAAAAGTAATTATCAAAATTGTTCAGAATATGTTGCCAATTACTCTGCTCCATAACTGCTAACTTTCTCAGTTCTTCTCTTGCCTTTGCTGGGCTCTCTGTCACTGGAAACATCTTAAACCAATTTAAAGTGCTACACCTGAATAAACATGTTGTAAAAGTGTTTATGTATTGAAGTGGGTCAGTTCAAGGTATGGTATTTGGCTGGAACTTCTAATTTCTCTTTTTACTGCAAAAGGGCTGCCAGAAGGAGGAAGTCTGAGCTGAATTAATACATTTGTTACAGTGGAAGTAGAATGGAAACTACTTTAACCACAAATCAAACTGCCTCTTTCATTTACGCCAGTGATAGAGTTTTTTTAAGAAATATAGACTCTGGCGTGCAGCCACTGTGAGTTTGTGTATGGAAAGGAAACCTATATGCTTATTTCTATAATGTTTACTCCTATGCTTGTTTTCAAGCTCCTTTTCAGGGTGATTGAGTTAACAGCATTATACATTTGTGAGGCAGATGCTCCTTCGTTGCCCACGTAACAAATTTTCCAGCGGGTTTAGAAGAATCCCGAGGCGCCCTGGTGCCGCCCGGCGCGCGGTGCCAGTGGCCGAACCCTCCCGCCTAAAGGACCTCTGTGTCCCCACCCTGCACAGCTGCACAGCTTCACATGACACTGTCTCATTTTCTGACGGTTGAAGGGCTCTGCATAATACACGTACGCACAAAAGTGTTTATGCTGCCAAAATAAATTCTGTTAAGAGTGAGGGTTTATTTGCTAAAATGTCACTGATGCAGTTTCAGTGACTTGTTTTGCTTTCCTTTCTTTCAGTGAGGTTTAGACCACATAATATAGTGAGGTTACCACACAGTCCTGACTGAACAAATATTTTAAAGAAATATGCACGTCCCCTGGGAACAGAACCAGAGTCAATAGCATGCATATTTCAAACTCTCTTCTCTTGAACAACTGAATGGCTTCATACCTTTACTGGTGAATGAACATCAGTTTAAGGAACACTGCACGATATTTATTTTTAAAGCAGAATTATATTTATTATGTACACTTCTATTTGCTACTGGTTTGCTTTGGGGATATAAAGTTCCACGTCTCACTGAAACAATGCAAAATTAGAAGACCACATTACATTATTCTTTCTATAGGAAGTAGACTGTAATGGGGCTCATTTATTTTTCAGTTCGATAGATACATGCATGAAATAAAACGTCTCTGTAATGAATAAGATATATAACAGAGACTGCAATTTTATGCAATAAAAATTGCATCTGTAAAGCTGTTGAAACTTCTGCAAATTGTAGAGATTTTTTTGTCTTTTTAAGTTTTGTTTAACAAAACGTGGATAGATTCCTAATCATATAAATTCAGGATTGCAGCAAATTCCTTGCTATGATTCAGTCAGCAGTTGAACTTCTGCTATGGCTTTGGGAGGGGCAGAAGTTCACCTTTTAACTTGCTATTTCCATTGCTTTTAGGTCGAAGTATCAATGTTAAATCTGCTGGCCTGGTTGGAAGACATGGGCCTCAGTCAAAGCAACCATTCATGGTTGCATTCTTCAAGGCAAGTGAAGTGCTTTTCCGCTCTGTCCGAGCAGCCAATACCAAAAGGAAAAATCAGAACCGCAACAAATCCAGTAGTCAACAGGAGTCCTCTAGGATGCCAAGTGTTGGGGGTAAGATGGAGCTATGATTTACTAGTCTTTTTATAGGAGGTATGGGCACCTGCCCAAATGCAAGACAGTCACAACAGCTCAAAAAAGATGCAGCTCACTGGCTGAACTGTCAGAAGCAGTGTTTCCACTCCTCTTTTGTTATGTTGGCCTTGTTTTGTTATGTTACCTTCTGTAAATCAGATCAATTACATGTATCATGGACCCCAGGAGGGTGAAATAACCAAGCAGTTTAAGAAAGGCTGTGTCTGAGCTTGAAATTAAGCCTACACAGTATGCAACTGGATGATATCTTTACTATGTGCAAGTAAAAAACAGAGGTAAAGAAAATTATTGCACCCCTACTTGTCGAGGAAGCTTCAGAAAAACTGCCTCTCAGCTGAAGAAGGCAAGATGTAACACAAAAATCTCAATACTGGAAATGAGGAAGATTAACCAATATGAAAAACTGTAAACTGTTTAGGAGTTCAGGTCAGCTGACAAGTAATTATATAAATATAAAATATATCCCTCTACAGAGTGAATTTGGTCCCTTACCTGAAAGGTACTGACAATAATGCACAGGAAAATGTTCTTAGTTGCTTTAGAGCCTGGAATAAATTTTGCTTCAGTTTTTCCTGAAACAATCCTTTCAGCTGAAGGCCGAAATATTTACAAAGTCACTTTGTAAATATTCTCACTTCTGAACGATCATTTCCACTTTTTGGGAAAAGGATGTGAAAGTGTTTCTTTCTAGAAGCATCACACATTTAATAACAGCATATCAAAAGCTTAATATAAGTGCTGTTCTTAAATCCCATGGATGTGTACAAGTAAGAAAATCAGTATTTTGTGGGAGGAATTTTGCCTTGGGCTGGGGCTCACCTATTTGAGAAGTGTTATAAGCAATATGCATTATTTATATCTGTCTCAGAACCTTGACAGAGGCAGGCTACAAACTATTCTAATGCAATGAAAAAGCCTTTCCCAGACCTTTTGCAGAAGGATAATTTTACCATAACAACCAAAAATTGCTGTTGAATTGCTAAAGAAATTGAAGAAATTATTTAAATAATTTTTCATATTCCCTGGAAAGTCTGCTAATTTTGAGAATCACAATATTTTTGGTGAGGGGATAATTACCTAAGTATATGGTACACACAAGATACCTAAATATAAATATCACAGTTTCAGACTGAATCCTATGTATCTAGAGCATGAAAAACTGAGAACTGAACAGATTCCTTAAGCTTCATTGATTATAGCAGGAAAGCTGAACACAAGCTCCTTGCTGGTATACCCTGGGAAAACACAACCTTATCACATTGCATTGACATAAGAATTACCTCAGGGAGAGCTGAGGTAACTTTTCAGTGTTGTCTTTGAATTCAATTGTGCTCCAGACCTAGTTGTAAAACAAGAAAAATCAGAACATCTCTAGTGAAATGTGCATTTTGAAAAAAACTTTCTCCTATTCTCTTTAAAGTTTACATAAGCATAGAGTACATCACTACATATGTTGATCCATAGCAGATCTCTTTCAAAAGATATTTCAGTTCAAGAAAAACATACCGTTAACCACAGCTTCACTTAGTAACGTCCTCTGTGGCAAAACTGTTTGAAGGTATAGCAAACCACATTCCATGCTCCTGCCTTGAAGTTTGCCTCACAATCCCCATGTCACAAATAAACAAATTCCTTTTGTGTAGGTGTCATTAATGATTGCTCATTGGACTTTTCCCACCATAAGTGATCCAGAAGTCTTTTAATAACTACTGCAACAATACTCGTGAAATGCTGTGGATGAGCATGCTGAAGGCTACAAAAGCAATGTACAGATTCTATCCACATCACCAGTCTGCGAAAAAGACACAGAGAAGAGAATACGATCTTATTGCTCTGATCTCTTGTGTCTTTTCAGATATAATTCCTCCATGTGGACAGCCTGTTATCAAAGAAAAGCAATGCTCTTTTTCTTCTCTTTTCCAGCCCCAGGATCTGAGGGATACACTGTACCCATTTGAGTTTGTGGAGAAGGCTAATTGTCCAAGCTCTCTACAGCTTCAGTAGTGAGCAGAACTTCAAAAGTAAAATTCACATCTTCAAATTAAAACATGAAAGTTTTTGGGAAAAACCAAAGAATTTTGCCAATCATCTTTCTCATGGAAGATAGTCAATAGACTATATTCAATCCTCATTCAACTCCTTGATGCAAGACACTTGACACAGTGACCGGCAAAGATAATTGTGTCATGTAGGTCTTTTGTTTCTAAGCTTCTTCCATGATCTTGTACTTACAGCAAGTAAGACAGACACTGACAGTGAAAAATGCTCACTTACATAGCCAGAGGTAATGTAGCCAGACACAGATAGGTATGTTGTCATTCATATATGACAGACTTCTAATATTTCTCTCTCTATACATCAGTCTTAACATTACCACAATCATGTGGCACCACTTCCTCCTTGCTTCTTTCTTCTTCATTTTCCTTTACTTCCCCCACATTTTCTTTTGTTCTTTCTCTTTTGTTTTCTTCTGTTTCCCCTTACTCTTGCCTTTTTTCATCTTTCTTTTGCCTTTGCATTTTATATTTTGCCTTCTTCTTTTTCCCTTCTTACTTTTTAAGTTCTTGGATTTCAGCAATTAGCTTTACTGTGTTCTCAGTATGTCAAAAAGGAAAGCCCAGCTCTTCCCTTTGAAAGGGAAGACATTTTTTTAATTATTCATGAAGTTTCACAAAATCATAGAATGGTTTAGGTGGGAAGAGACCTGGTCTAGTGGAAAATGAGTGGACTCCCTGCCCCTAGTAGGGGAGTTGGAAGTAGATGATCTTTAAGGTCACTTCCAACTAACATTCTGTGATTCTGTCATATACACAATCTCAGTATGAAGAGAATAAAATCTTATATATTGATTATTGTAACACCTGGGATATTGTTGATGGACTTGGGGTCATCATCCCTGTGTTGCTAAGAACTTCAAGAGGAGACGACGTCAATGCAGTGTAAAGACAGACAGAATTAAGCTTAGCATTGAGGCTCTACCTGCCTGCTATGCACAGAAGATTAAACACTTTTTTATTTACCAAGTTTTATTTTTGTCAAACTGTAGATAGGAGAAAAAAAGATAAAATCCTCAAACCAAACCAAAACCAGGCAGGTTGCTTATAAAGTATGTCACATTACGTCTCCCCTAAAAAAAGCTGGCTAAATTTTAATTTCTTTAGCATTGTCTATAAAGAGTTACAGAGTAACTGGGCACTAGAGAATAGCCACGTTTAAATACTGAGTAGTGACTTACACCAGGAAACTAAAAAACAAAGCTACATCATTTTTATTCATATGGAGATAAAACCAGAAAAAAATTACTTAAGGCTACATTTTGTGTATGCTATTGATTGGTGTTACAAACACTGATTCAAAATATAGTATTTTGTAATAGTATGTATAAACATGTTTTCATGTCTTTATTTCACATGGAAAAAAAAGTCTCATGAAATTTCTTATACATATATTTTATTGACCTCCTTCCACAGTTTTTTCTGCTATGTAGGGGTTTAGATTCCACTGAGGAACAATGTTTTCTCAATCATAATAGCCTATGGTTTTGATTCTTGACAGAATAAGCATATGGGCTTTGAAGCTACAGTGTGTGAAATTGAATCCTTAGCACCAGACCTTATTATAAATGTCACATTTGATACTTACATAAAATGTTATATTACACACAACATTTGTCCTACATGAAAGGTAGAATTTAGGGAAGGAATTCAGACTTTCCTGAGTCTCACTTTCTTCATAGGTGAATGGGTTAGATGGCTTACAGTCTGTACATGCTGGCCATTTTATCAGGTATTCTGGTGTGACCACACATCATTTGAACCTATATTCAAATGGCTCAGAGTATCACAACAATGATGACATCGGTGAAATGACTTACATATCTATTATTTAGATTTTCACCTTTAAGTGTAGAAACTTCTGCTACATCCTGGCCCTAAAACTTCTGTACATGTTCTTGAATATGAAAATGTCACTGCAGAGAGAGCTGGCAAGAACACAATCTTCAGCTTTCATTTGTTTGCCTGCTTGGATGCTATTAAAAACCATATTGTGGCTTTCCTGACTTTCTCATGTGCATATTTTCCACATTTTTCAGTCATATTTTTTTGCGAAATTACTTGTACTCTATGTGTATGAGTTTTAAATTCCCTCTAATAGCTGAGACAGAAAAGCTCGATATTCACCTCCTATGAGCACTGATGTTAATGAAAATGAATATATAGATCTGTGTGAAGAGTCAGTGAACACAGCTCCATTTTTTTAAAGGTTCTTTACTTTCAACTACCTTCACTGTACTTCTGAAGTGTGTGCAAAACAGATTAGAATATTACATACAACTTAGCACAAGGTATGACTCAGGGGTTTTGTATTAAAGGCATACAGATTTTTGAAAAATTGTGATGTCTTAGGGCATCCTGTCTTGCTTCCAGTTACTACTCCAAAAAGACATAGCTATCTCATGGGATGTGGGTGTATATTTTGACCCTGCATGTCCTGGGACAACTGAGAGTGTCTGAGATGGCAGCTGTATGTGGAGATCACTTAACGACTGTCATTGAAGGGCTAGGAAAATACCATAGGAAAGAACACAGTGTTTGTCTTTAAAAACTATGAGGCTTTGAGGTATAATAGCTTAGAAAGCCTAGCTTAACATCCCTGATGCTTGTTTAGTATTGCAAAGGGACATATTTGTGACTTGTGGACAGCTTTTGACACAGTTTTGGGAGTCATATTGTGTCCATGTGTATTCAATAGAAAGCAGGTACACAGCCTGCTTAAAAAATAAAGAAAAAGCCTGTTCAAAGAATGTGTTGCCAGTAAGAGAAAAAAATGTTTGTGTATTTTGAATAATGTCTTGTCAAGTCTTTTCTGGATCTGGTTCAGTCCAAACTGTTATTGGTAATTTGGATGATGGAGCAGTCCTCTCAGATCTCATATCCTCTGTGAACTTCCAGAGAACACATTCTGTACTATTGTCCAAGCTATTAAAAAAGGTGCTAATACCAGTACTGATCCTTTAGCGACCTCCCTCGTAACCAGCTGCCAGGTGGACTCTGTACCACTGATCCCAACTGTTTGGGCCCAGCAGCCTAGACAAGTTTCCATCCATTATATTCTGACCTATCAAAGTTATTGATTGGTTTGACCAATTTGACTCAAGAAATACTATGTGAGACCATATCCAAAACCTTCCCAAAAACAAAGGGATCAACACTCAGAGCTCTTCAAAAGCCCACAAATCTAGTCAGAGCATCACAGAAAACAGTCAGGTTGGTCAGGCACAGTTTGAACTAATAAATTCACTTACTCTTCCCAAAGCACCTTCTTTGTTCTTTGTGTGCCTGGACAGCTTCCATGAGAATTTGTTCCAAAGACTTCACAGAAACTGAGGTTAAGCTGATTTGCCTTCCTGAAAATGGGTGTGGCATTTTCCACTTTGAATCATTGGAAATGTCTTTTGGTGCATGAATGCTCAAAAGGGGCAGGAAGTGACTTTGCAGTGTTGGTCAGCTCATTCCCCGCCCTGAAATTCATCCGTTCTGCTCACATGGATTCATGTATCTTCAAGCTGCTTAACTGATTCCTAACTCTATCCCTTTTCCTTGGGTAGAGTTTCAGCCACTAGGGTCAGAGACTTGGGAGTCCTGAGGGTAAATCTTGCCAGTAAAAAGCAAGACAAAGAAGTCACTGACTACATTAACCTGTTCTGAGTCCTTGTCTCTAGGTCCTTTGCTCTACTGAACAACAAAGTTGTATTTTTCTTAGGTTTTCCCAGGAAATATGTATATATTATTTCTGTATAGTTCATCCCAATTGCACAATACTTTTGCTTCCTATTTGAATTCAGTCAAAATTTTCCTAGATAATCACAGTGGATTTGTGCCATATTTGATTGACTTGCAACAGGTTGCAATGCTGTTGTTGATGTCATCCCTCAGAACCTCTACCTTACCATGGCTGCTGCAGCCCCATCATGCTGCAGTTGTCATCAACGCCCTCATCCTCCATCTGTTCTTTATTCTTTGGTTTGTATAGCTACAACAGACTCCTAAGGCTGATGAGCAGGAATATATTAAAGAAAAAGTTTGGAAGCTGATTATTGACAGTGTGATATTACTGCAGAACTCCTATTCTGGGTAATACTACAACAAAACAAGCCTGAAATAACTATTTTACTTTATTTTACACTGTTTTTGATTGTGGCCATCATGTCTTTGGCAAGACACAGAGAAGCTGAAGAGAACCCAGAGAAGCAATGATAGCAGAGGTCAGGATGGCTGACAAGAAGCACTTGACAAATTTGCAGAAAAAACTCCTCTAGGCCATATATTTGGAAGAGTTTTCTGCAAGGATGGTGAAAAACTATGCAGATTAGTTCAGAGACTGTGGAAGTTCCTTTCATTTTATATAAAAAAGGAGTTTCTCTCTGAATCTTAATTGTCCTGAAATTTTTCAGAGAACTTCCCGTTTCAGTCTCAAGTCTTATAATGTAAAAAAAAAAATTCTAAAAATTATTTTTCTGAAACTGAAAGAATTGTTTTCTTTTTCCACGTCTTCCTTGCTAGGGTTTTGTGGAGTTTTGTTTGTTTGCTTTTTCTTGTTGTTGTTGTGAATTTTTATTGGTGGACTTTATTTTTTTTTTCCCCAGAATGGTTATTTTGGTTTGAAAAAGTTATCTTAAGCATTCTTGAATTAGAAACAGAAGAGACAGTCTGTACTCCCTGCTCTGTCACATGCTTCACTTATGGCATCACATGATTAGCTGTATAAACCAACTTTGAGGGGTAATGTGATGAAGACATGATCCTGTTCCCTTCCTTTCCTGTTACTTAGGAGCAGTAAGGAACAAGTACTATAATTTCTCCAGGAGCAAGGTTGTGGTGGAGAAGCATGTATGGAAGGTTCTGGGTGTCCTTCTATTCTGATATATCTCTGACAGAACACTTTCAGTCCTTTAAAAAGCACCTGTTAGTCTACTTGTTTACATTAGTACTAGCAACTGAAGATAATCAAGTGGTGAATATTTCCAGAATATATGGCAAAAAATAAGTACAATATGTGCCACTTTGTGTTTAACTAAGAGACATTTGGAAATTCCCTTGCTTCAGGACAATTTTATTGTTGGTAATTCATCTTTTGAACTGGGCTGCTTTCTTTACCTGGCAATTAAAACCAGGCCAACCTACAGATGATTTCCCTGATATTTTGGATCAAACTCTCACTTGTCCTCTTTGATTACCTGTGTGGATATTATCAGAGGTGTTACCCAGCTAGCCAGCAAATAGACATCTTGTAAAGCTGTTTCCCCTAATACTGTATGTATTATTTTTCCAGTGTACAGAAATTGTGTCAGTCTGACTCTGCTGATTCTGTATTTCCAGGTTTACATTGCCTTTACAACTAACCCTAGGAGTATAAATGACAGTATGGTTTTCCTTTCCTTTGTGCAGCTTGGTAAGGATCTCAAAAAAAGCTAAAGCTTGTCAGTTCTAGCAATGCTTCCAAATAATTTATTAATGTTATTTACTTCCTGTAGATTATAACACAAGCGAACAAAAGCAAGCATGTAAGAAACATGAACTTTATGTGAGTTTCCGAGACTTAGGATGGCAGGTAAGATTATAAATGCTCTTTCCTAACAGTTCAAACTGGGACAATCTCTTTTAAAGTTCCCCATTATTTACATTTTGTTTTCTTTATGGAAATTGGCATTACAGTGATGAGAGACAGATTCTTTAAATACATTTTGTAACAAATCCTTATCAGTATTGCTATCACTATAACTTTACATTTTTAACTCTTCTCTCAAAGATATTGCCTACATTAGTGACTTTATGATTTGGATTAATTCACATAAAGATAAATTTAAACGGCTGCTCAAGAGTTGAGTGAATCTGCACTAAATGAAACCAAAATCCCCACATCAAGTAATTAAATGTTTTAAATTTTCACTAGTTCAAATTTAAATCCCCCTTGTTCAGTGCTGTCTTCTGCAGGTCATAGAGATTTCACTGGGGTGGAGTCCTTAGGGAAATAAATATTGGATCATTTCTCAGTGATCTTTATAATACCATAGCTAATTTTACGTAATTTCTGAGGAAAACTCACCCTGCCACACAGTAACAAAAAAATAATATACTTACAGTAAAAGGTCATGAAGTCAGAAGCAGGGCATTATGGGAAAAGAAAATAGAGATCAATCCAGGTTTTTTTCCCAGAAAGCAAGGAACGCTCTATAAAGAACAAGAAGGCCTTCAGCAACCTCTAACTATTGCATACATAGATAAGAACACAGGAATGGTTGCCTGTGCATTTCACATTTCGTGGAATTATTTTAAAATAACTCTCCAGGAGCAGAACAAGTCTATGAGGAGCAAAAGTTTGCTCTCTTTAGTGACAGCTCATCCTTTATGTATCTAGCTCAGATTCTCATATGGCCTCATTATCCTATCTGATATTTTGTAGTATATTTATTCCCACAGCAGCCTGAAGAAGCAGGCAGACACTGTTTTCCCAAGTCTGTAAAGCATAACTACCCAGTCCAGGGCCACAGAGCAGGCTTGTGGTATTGAACTCAGGCCACTGAACAAGTGAGCCATTGTCTCTTGATTACAGGGTGCTTTTTTTTCAGATATCAACAGGTTATTTTTGTTATTGTTTTTTTTTTTTTTGCAGTAGATTCTCGTATGCTCCAAGATGTGCTAAACTCTCAGATCAGTGGCCATAGTGACCACAGTAGTCAAAGAAAAAAGAAAAATTTTAACACAAAGGCTACCGTAAGAATTAAAAGTTTCAGCTGGAAGACCAGAGCTACACTGTACAATATTTGATCTGTGAAACACAGACTGAAATGAGATACAAAAAAAAAAAAAAGATACAAATCCCAAGAAGTAGCTACTTGATCCTCTCTGCCCTTCCTGCAGCACCTCCATTACCTGGCAGAGGAGGAACTCGGCAAACTAAACACACAGCTTTTATTAACATTTTAAAATGTTTTCCCTCTTGTGGTCTTTTTCCCATGCTGCATTCCTTGAAATACTGAAAATGTATGATTCATGGACATGCCAACAGGTAATCACTAGCAATGCTCAGTGTCACACAGTAATACAGTTTACAGCATTGACTATGCTGAAGGAAGAGAATGCATTGTAATTACTTTTGTTGCATCAAGAAGTGCTCAAAACTTTTAGTATGGAAGGAAAAGTATTCTGCAAATATATTTTAATCTTTAATCTCCCTTATAGCCTCATTAGTTGATATTCAATACAGATTTTTAGGTTTCATTAATTTTCATCTCAATTTTGCATGAACAAAGCAAGTACTTTTAAAAAAACCAAAAAACATTCCTTTCACATGACACCTTCTGAAGTTCATTGTGCCATTGAGAAAGTCTTAGTTTTGATATAGCTATAAATTCCTTGAGTGAGAAAATATAATGAGTGGATTTATTTGTTGTTGCTTTAGGATTGGATTATTGCACCGGAGGGCTACGCTGCGTTTTACTGTGATGGAGAGTGTTCTTTTCCCCTCAATGCCCACATGAACGCAACAAACCATGCCATTGTTCAGACTCTGGTATGCCTCTGACTGTGTTATAGTCGCCTATGCTGTAGTTTGTGTCTTTGCTCAGAGTCTGACTCTTCTGCTTATCACTACTGAATTTTGATTATTTCTTGAGAAATCATAACTCATTTTAAAACCTGCTTTAGTGATTTTGTTGGAGAGAGGATAACCTGCTCAGAGTGGCCTGTGTGGTAGGTTTCACCTCCATTTCAAATGCAATAGCACATGAGAAGACTGTGTTATTTTACTGGAGAATTGTGTAGACAGGAACCAAAGGGGCCCCTGGTTTGACTTCCAAGAGTTTTTGCAGCTTATTGAAGCTCAGTGTTAACATCTACATGTTATACCTTCCAGAAATGATGACACTTGGCCACTCTGTGGACCTCTGTTGTCAACTGTTGGCAGAGATTCTTATACTGTAATTTAATGTGAAGCTTTGCAAACAGATGCATTTGCATGTAAGAAATTGTGTTCAGTCATGCCTGGCTTACAAATGCAATTTAAAAATAAGTGTATTTGGATCTGTTGCTCTGCCTGGTACATGTAAAAGGGATTTGCAGCCAGCTTTCTGCCTCTGCTAGTTCTTATGTCAATTCTGTGCCTCAGCCGGAGCAGCCAAAAAGATGATCTTAGTTGAGGCAGCTGGCTAGGCCTCCTCTACCCCAGCAGTGTTCATCTACAGAAATCATGACCTTTAGAAAATTACTAAATGTAATGCTGTAAGGCCAAAGTCTAGTCAGTCTGGTCAAAAACTGATTTTTCACCTGTGCCAGCTGAAGAACTGGCTCTGAATAGAGCTGGTATTAGCAGAACAATTAAGGAGGAGGGGAATGAGAGATAATACACAAGGAGGGAGTCACAGCACGAAGTGAGAACAGGAAAGGGTTGTCATCCACAGTTAGTTTCTGGAACATTCAAGGCACACAACTGAGTTTAAAGAAACATGGATTTAAGGTTCCGTTTGATTTAAACTAATAATGATCAAGTATCCTGACTATCAGATTATGCTGATGGCTGTCCAAGGATAATGATCTTTTTCTTTTATTTTCACATCAAAATCTGGGCCTGAAAAACCTTTCCCCCTTGAGAAATGAGTGGAGTTACTACCTGGGATACCAGCCCAAACACCCCCCTCAAATTTAAACCCCACACCAGAAAAAAACCCCAAACCAAGCAAGCAAACAAACAAAAATAAAATTTGGTTTCTTTCTGATTGAAAACAAGTTCTGCTTGTGAAAATTGCCAAGTATTTCTATATGACAGGGACGTTTTCAAAAACTCAACATATGCTGAGAACTTTTCTGTTCCATTCAACTTTTCATTTACTCACCTTCTCCAAGTCCAGTCACCAATGCAACATTATTCCTCTATACTAGAATTCCAGTCAGCAAGATTTACAAAAAGAAGGGAAAATGTCAGAGGGAAAATGTCATTTGTAACACACTTAAAAATAAGTAGAAGTATGTTAAGGACTTCAGGTGAAGGGGAACAGAAAATGCCAGTTGGCAAGGAAGCAATGTTCTTAGAAGACAATGAAGAACAGCATATCTGCAGTCCTGAGCAGAAAAGAAGTAGGTCAGCAAAGCAATAGTTTAGTATTACACAAGCATTTTTCAGAAAAGTTGCCAATATCACTGAGATCCCCAGGTTAGAGTTCCCTTCTGCAATTATGGACTGTTAAATAAGAGTTGGCTCAGTGCTACTTTCTCTTGTGTGTTTTTCCTGTCCAAAATGGTTATTTTCCCATTGTTAGGAAATGTGTGTAGTTTGTCCTATTTTTTAAATTGGATACTTAATTTTTGCTCTTTTTATGGCCATTTTGGAATTGCGTGTCTCCCTTTGCATGTACTGAACATGCATTCAGTGCAGCCAAAAAATCATGAGGCCAATTAAGTTTTAGCTGTACATAAATTAGATGAGATAACAGTAGTTTAATGCTTTCTGGTTTAAATTATGTAAAATTCAGATTTACACAAGGTGTGCATATGGGGATGGCTTGGGAAGCAATTATTCATATGCTCCACCCTAATCCAAATGCAGTCACCTCCTGGCCATGATGATTACAACATTCTGAAAAAGCCTGCTCTTTGGGTTAGGAATTATTGTTCCTTGGTACCCCTCCAAACTTAACTGATTCTTTTTTATTTTCTTTTGTAACAAGGATAGGAAAAATATGGGCCAGTACCTCACTCTCTCCCTCTCTTGTTTGTCTGCAATTGAACTCAGGCAAGCAGACAGTACAGATGCATATAAATAAAAGACAGGGGACATTTAATAAGCTCTATAAACTCTTGCCTCCTGCATCACCTTCAGAACAGGCACGGGGGTAGCATTGTCTTTCTGGTCATGCAAAGCAGTGGATCATCGGGTTGGCTTGCACTGAATTTGGGGTAAACATTTGAACAGGCTGTGAACATCACTTCTGAGGAGGTACTGTGGGGCCACAGATCTTCCATCAGGGTGGCAGGGGCTGGTGGAACCATGATTTATGGCTGGATAAACATCTGCCCAAGACAGGCACAATCATTTTTTTCTCCAGTGCTTTGCTATTAATTTGTTAAATAGTTTTTAAATGTGTGTCTAAACTGTTACAAAACAGCTACTTCAGGATTTATTATTGCTCATTTCAAAAGACCTTCTCATGGTAACTGTTATGTAAAAATTGTTTCCTGATAGACTGTTCTCTGTTGTCTGGCAAAGGCTCTGGGTTTATATCACTGCAAGACAGATGGCTCTAACAGATTTACAAAGACTTAACATACAAACAAAATCTATTACTGACAAAGTCTTCATACATGCCTTAATAATCTGTTGCCATCTCTATTACAACTCCCTCTTCTCTGGCTCCCCAGGTTCCAAGTCTTCAGCATGTGTAGAATATTACATCCAACCTTCTTTCAAGTACAAAGAACTTGTATTTTCCCCATTTTATTTCTACTAGATCTTGTTTGTTCTGGGACGCTTTTCAAAACTCTTTTCTTTCGCTTTAATCTTTCATTGATACATTTCAGCCTGGTGAACATAAAGACTTCTATGCCTCAGCCCCTGCCCCAAATATTCTGTCCAGCTGGCACCCACCTTATGAACTGATTTTTATTTCAGTGAAAGTAGAATTGGATCCATAGACCTTAAAGTGCACGCACACTGTCTGTGACTCCACATCTTACCATTTCATAGGCTGAAAGCAGTTTCATTATGAGGCTTTGCTTGCACAACCTTTGCTGTCTGCAATAGATTTTCCTCCACACTGAACCCCCAGCACAGGAAAGTATTTTAGCACATGCTGGGGTCCTGGTGAGATCTGGGGCTTGATCCTTTGCTTCATGCTAAGCCTTGCCCTCAGCAAAGATGGTATTGACAATATGTTTAAATGTTTTCTTGAGCTGCTACCTAACTCCAATTCTCTGAATTTCATCTGAAAACCAACTTTCTGTCTTGGCCACTTCTCATTTATCTCTCCATCTGCTTTTATTGTATAACCTTGTGCAACTGAAATCAGAAAAATGTGCTGGAGGTAAACTGTACTTTAAATTTGCTAACTGAGGAAAATTTGTGACCACAGCCCTTGCTGAATTACAAAGACATGTTTTTGCACTGACAATGTCCTCACAACTCTCTGTTTGATATATGAGCTATGTATTTATCTGTCTTTCAGGTTCACTTGATGTTCCCTGATCATGTACCAAAGCCATGCTGTGCACCAACAAAACTGAACGCAATCTCCGTGCTCTACTTTGATGACAGCTCCAATGTTATTTTAAAAAAATACAGGAATATGGTGGTGCGTTCATGTGGCTGCCACTAAAAAAAAAATATATAATCTAAAGCAGAGGGGTTTATTCAAAATTGTAACAAAGTCAAGATATGAGCATTGCTGATGAAAAGGCAGGCCTAAATTTATTCCATTTCATGTCATCTCTCATTTAATTGTACAGTATAATGTATATAGTAGCTTTTATTTATTTAAAAGTATATAGTTTCTTTTGTATGAGCAAAATTTCAGAACCATTTATTTAATGGGTCACCTCACTATGCAGCAGAAGTTCACAAATTAATTTTTCCATTCACCATACTGAAATTTGCTTTATCCCATTTCAATATTATAAAGTAAAGCCTTTTTGTATGGAATTTTTTAAACTAGAAACTCCAGAAATTCTGTAACTGCTTTGTATTATTAGAGGAACTATAATGCATTTGGTCATATTATGCCAATGAAAACTGTGACTAGGTATTTATTTAGAAAAAGGCACAGGAAGAAAAAAACTAAACAAAACTGCTCAGCTAAACATATTTTTTTTAGAACTTCTGCTTCATTAGAAAAAGTGAAATGTTGAACAATGCTTAAGTAAATAAAAAGCAGATAAAAAATAGAAGTGAAAAAATTGCACATAATTGTTATAACTATTTTCTTTAACAAGATGAGTGTAACTGGAGGAGTATGTTACTTTTTGGCTTGTGAGCTGCAGTTTGCAAAAGGCTCTAGGCTTCAGAAATTCTGTGTAGACTCTTGCCTCTATCTATGGCTTTCCAAGTTAACACTAAAAGTTGGACTACAACATTCTTACCTCAAATCATATCAATCTATTATCTATGACACTGCTCTGGCAGATATTTTTAAAATAGCACAAAACAAGCCAGAATCAAACAAAAAGACCACACAAGCCTTCCCATTACACACACAGGTTACTATACACAAAGTGTACAGAATACAGGGTATAGAAGAGCTTTGCTTTATTTAGCTCCTGCTTCTGGATATGTTTTAAGAGTGTGCAAGGGAAGGCACGGGGCAGGGGGGTGCAGCAGTTGTCACTTGTTTAATCAAAAGTCTTATCCCTGGTGGTGGCTGTTTGCAGGAAAAGATAAACACCTTTCATAAGAAGATGCTGGGTAACTTGCAGCCTACTTTCAGTCCCATCTGCTTTTCTATCAGGTGGGGATTGATTTAAATAATGAGACTCAATATGGGATACTTTTCCTTTTATTTAGCAATTGCAACTTTAATATTTCTTAAATCCATATACATAACTTTTTATTCCCACTAAATTTTGGCCTCAAGTTAAATCCTTTGGCTGTGAAATACATAGCCAATTGCAAATTACCTTTCCCATCACCACTACACACAGGTTTATTTCAAATTAATTACACTTAATATCTTTGGGGACCCCTTTGTTTTACTGTTATGAAAATGGGAAAATAGAAATATTTTTCTCTCTATTACATAGCTAATTATCACATACACATTGACTGCCTTCATTAAAATGTTTCCTTTAAACCATTATCAAAGAGTTGCTAAAAAATTGATAGGATTTTTAAGTTTCTTCTTTGACAGTCTAATCATATAAACTTTGGCTTCTCTGGTTATTTAAAACATATCTCAGAAAACTCAGATGATTACAGACTCATAAAATCAGCATGTGTGTGACTGTGTGTATGCATGTGAATAGGCAGCTGTTGTTTTTGCAGAAACTAATTTATTTTACCTTGTTATTGGAGTAATGCATAAATCCTTTCTATGCATACACTCAATTTAAAAAAAAAATTACCAGTTCTGATTTCAGCCTTGGGAACTCTTCCCCTTTAATAGAACGTTTCCATTTTACACTCCTGTCTGTATTTTATACTGACATTACCTACATATCTAGATTTAGTTGCACTTCATGTACAAGAATGTATAGGAAAAAAGGTCTTCATCTAAATTAGCAATTTAGAAAATTTAAATTCCTCGGTTGTCTTCAAAAAATTACTGGGTTTTTTGTATAAATTGAGTAGGTGGATATGCTTTTTTGAACTCAATTTATTCTAAATAGAATTTGATGGACACTAAATTTTGGGTACATTAAGTAATATATTTTTAAATAATGGTGTACCATTTTGAGACTAATAAACTGAAGATTATTGTTATATTATTCTTTAAAATATGCTGTTGGAATATATTTCTATATTTTGAGACATAATAAACCTGTAATAATGTTTTTCTCTGCTGTGGCTTTGCTTCTTAGACACATGACAAAATGACACTGACTTGAGGTATCCTTTTAAAAGAGAAAACAGGAAATCAGTGATGGTTACAGACAGATTTTGTTATGGTTCATTTTTAGTACAGATATTTTGCAAAACTACTTTTATTTTCTTGCTTCTTCAAGAGCAGATGGTGAACCATCTACACTACTAATAAAAATCATACCTTCAAATCATACCTCGAAATGCTAGTATTCTACTCAACACTAGAAAGGAGAAACGGTTTTTAAAATTCCTAATAAATCCATAACTGGTCCTTCCTTTGTTTGCAATAAAGGATAGTGGCACCAAACTTTCTATATGCTCTGGAGAAGTAAATGTAGGCATGTTTTCAGGTAAACCTGTTCATATATGCTCTTCTTCAGTAGTACCAACTAATGCAAGACTTTTTGTGCTTTCCCTTCGTCCTATCAAATACTTGCTATTTTATATATATTTAGGCATAATATATACACATATATTTAATGCAAAGTGTACATAATTATATGAAAATTTACCTGTAGCTATATCCATTTTTCTAGTTATGAAGATTCTTCCATTATCATTTAGGACACAAGAGCTTTGCTCTTTTTCAAGTTGTTTAAGGTTTCAACATCCTTAACAACTGGAACCTGAAGGGCTGAAAACCCAAAAACCTCAGAATTATTGTTGCAAATCTGACTGGTAGCTGACAACATAACGAAACATCGTTCCAGTGCAAAACCCAGCTAGAGAGGTCTCAGAGAGCTTTGGTGTGGATGTCTTCAAACAAAACGATGACCAGGCTTCTTCCCACTGTGCATCTGTCTGAAAAGTAGTCAAGTCCTTAACAATGCCATGACTCTTGCTTCTGCAGTAGGCTGTCGCTGTTGAGGCGGGACAGGAATGAAAGAACTCCAGTTCAGAAGGCTGGATGATGTGAACTCCAACTACTTTATTTCAAATACATCGCTCTTTTATAGAGAGCATTGTGCAGAATAATTTCATTGGTCTTAAAGTAAAAACATCTCACCCCGCTGGTGCTCAGCGAATGACGCACGGTGGCAGAGCATATCTATAAACAATATGAACACAAGAGAGATAGAGAATTATTTACATTCTTTTGCAACTCTTTCCCAGGTTCTAGCCTGGCAGGAGCTCTCCTTTCTCTCTGACTGAACTGAGAATACCCATAATAGGCTGTTCAGGTAAATATGCATTTGTGTCAGTGATTAGGTAGGTAATGAAAATGAAACCACTAGAGGAGCTTGGGTATCTTTAGGAACAAGAAACCAGGCCTTTCTTGGTGCACATGAGAGCTCAGCTGCTTGTTTTGCATACTGGGATGTATAAAGCTATAAAACAGTACTTAGTCTTTACGTTATGATGTGAGTCAATTGTCAGAAAATCTGGGGTCTCATTTTGGTAAATGGTAGATGCATGAGTGGTGTGAGTTACACCTGTGATGTAGACACCTTAACTGAGGCTGTCTTAGGGACAACATAGAAAAGTTGTTTTTTTGGATTGCAGTTCACTTATTCTCTCCAAAGACTACAGTGTAGGTTTAGGACAGTGGCTCTGCTTAGACCTTGTTTGAGCAACTGTAGCCAGTGACAATCCCTAACCGCTTAAAAATAACATTACATTGTTGAAAAGGTTTTACTCAGATGTTTATTTTGTATGTGAAGCTTTGAGAAACCTTCTGTTATCATGATGGGATGTCACACTTTTGTTTTGGAATATAATTTTCTCTGCCTTTTAGTGGGAAAAGATTTGACTGCTGACTGTGTACTTCTGTTTTGTTTCAGTTGATTGTTGTTTTTTGAGATTTTTTGTCAATTCCTTTTTTGGAAAAGTTTCATGATAAAATGAATTTGTTAAAGTTTAAAAAAATGGCTTAGGCTTATACTCATAAGACTCTGAATTGTTTCAGCAATAATCAAAACATTCTAATTACCAGGACCTTAAAATTACATTATTTGCAGTCTCTAAAGCTCTTTTGCTCATACATTCAGCTGTGTAGAGGGAGAATCTGACATGTGGTGCCTGAATGACAAACCAGCCATATGTGAATTATACAGCATTATCTTTTACTATCTCATCTGAAGTCACAGAACTTGCAAAATGTGATTTACAATGTGTTACTGAATTCTTACTCACAGGGGTTGAGCAAGAGCTTGATTAAAAACAAAAGAAAACTAAAGTAAAAAAATGTAACAAAAAACAGTGAGAGGACATTTTCTTGCCATCTTAATTCAAATAAATCAGCACCAAACGTGGTATACGAGGGGTCGTGAATCTCATGTGAATTAAAAGGGCCTTTTGTATTCTGTTTTCCACATTTACAACACAGACACTTCCCCCAACTGCTATATTTCCAGCTAAATGCTTTCTGTTCTCTTCCTGTACGTTTTTGCTTCCAATAGGCACCACCGATAATTCTTATTAATATGAATGAATATCTTCATTGCTTTAGCAGATGTTAATGCTTTACAATAGAAGTATGTGTTATTAGTATTGCTAAACTTTACATGTACAGGAAAGTGGAGAGGCTTGACAAACAGAAGAGCTGATGAGAGGCAGGATAGGGAAGACAACTAGGGCTCCAGTGTCCCAGTGCTCCAAACCCTGTTGCACACTCTTGGCAAGGGATGCATACACTTGGCACTTCTGTCCATGCAGCTCATAACTTTAAGGAAAGAAAGGCAGTCTTAGGGGTTACCTGGACCTATACTTTACATTTACAAAATATTTTTCTATTTTCATGGTTTTTTGTGTGCAGATGTAGACCACATCTTTCCACTCCAATATGGGAGTGACTGTATTTAAAAGCTACTTCTGCAGAACCAAC